TTATTTAAAACAACACAAATTCCATTTTGTTCGCTAAATATGCATCGTTTATCAGATAAACATGCACCACAATTATTTCCATAATCTGAACATGTATTTTGTTTGATAAAAAATCCTGTAACAGAAATAAACGAAATTCCAAGAAAGACTAAACCAATTATCGTTGCAAGTAGAGTATATAAAAGCAATTTACGACGACCAACTGGGTCAACTGCAAATATTGTTACCACTTAAAAAAAAAGGTATATTTAAATAAGTTATTAGCAATTAAAGTATACAAACAACAACATAATTGCACCTTACCTGTAACAATGAAATTTCCTCCAAACACAATAAGGGAAAACTTTAAAGTGTCACTCGTCTCAGTGAAACCAGCCATACTTAAGATAATAGCCTAAAAATTAATCTTAATAAAAGATATACATGTATAATACGTACCATTCTCTCGAATATCATTTTATTTTATACTTACACTAAAATACAAAAAGGTATCAAATCCACAAAATTCTTGTGAACACACAATCCCACATACAATTAAGAATGGCTTTAAATAAGGAGGTTGTATTAGCTTTGCATAAGAACCCTTGGCATCTTCAGAAACAGCTGAATGAATATCCTCAATTTCTAGACAATGAACGAACAAACGCATGAATGATTTATATATTGTAAAATTACATTATAAATTACATGATAATTAATGATAATTTATGATAATTTATATGATAATTCATATGATAATTTATTTGATAATTTTATTATAATTTATATTATAATTTATATGATAATTTATATGATAATTTATATGATAAGTAGATAAAAGATTTACCTTTATCCAAGAATTCTTGAGATGAATCGGGATAAATTATACTCAAAACATTTCTAGCATTTTCTAAATCACCTTTCTTCACAAGAAATCTTGGAGTTTCTGGAACAAATAATAAACCTATAATAAAGAATATTTTTTATATAATTGAATTAGCAAATATATAATCAATGAAAAATTTTTGTCCTAAATTCAGCATACCAAAAAGTTGTAATAATGAAGGAGTAGAAGCAAAAGCAGTCATCCATCTCCATCCACCATCTGATATAAATACAATCCCTGATAATATGGCAAATAACGTTGCACCATTACATAGTAAAACGTTACAGGTAACTAGTTGACCACGATGATATTTCGGAGAAATTTCACCAATATATACTGGAGCGATCATAGATGCAACGCCGCTAGCAATTCCTGTTATTAATCTACTAATCAACATAACAGTAAATGTTGATGACAGGGACATCATCAATGAGCCTACGATGAACGAAAATGCGGCTAGGTAAAGAGCATTTTTTCTTCCGAAAAAGTCAGAAACCCAACCTAATTAGTTTAATTATATAAATAAATAATTAATTAAATAATTAGACATAACTTAATAATACAGTATATTTAATAATATCTTTGTGAGTGATCCTCGCTGCTTGTTAATCCATTTACCTGCACCCAGAGCGCCGATTGCGCCACCTAATGTAGTTGCTGAAATAGAGGCAAAATAAATAAATTTAATATATAGAAAAATTTCATATATCCAAGAATATATTGAATTTATACCTCCAACAATCGAAGTTTGTTCAGTTTGAGTTAAATTATAGTCTTTTTCTAATATTAACATCACGGTGCTAATAACACCTGTATCATATCTATCAAAATTATAGAAAAAAAAATATATCACGCTATATAGTAATAAATGACATAATAAAAAATAGCCTAAAATATATACCCAACTGCAAATCCACTCAAAGCTGCGGTAAAAACGGCACGGTACAAAAAAGGAGTGACTTTTGTTTTAGCTTCTACATCTCTAAGAGTTGAATCATCGAACGGTTTGTATCTATTTGTTTCTTTTAAAAGATCAGATTTACTTTTTTCCATTAAAGTTGATATGGATGTTTTAATCTACCATCTGTTTCTCTATTATTTATATAAAAAAGTGTTTCAAAGTTCTGATAACGATAAGCCGTCTTAGTTGGCTAAGTCAGCTAAGCCGGCATATCGACTCGTGATCTGGTTTCAAAAAGAAAGAATCATCGATCGAAATATACATTTGTCCATCATTCATTCCCATAAAACCTCATGTTTCATCCTATCGCAATAACGATAATTAAATTCCCATGCTCTAGAACCTAATTTTCAAAACAAAAAAAAAGTAATTTGAAGTTTAGAATTAGAATTCGTGTCACATATCCCTATAGTATCTATAGCATCTATAGCATGAATAACAAATTTAATTTCGAATTCTCGGTTACAGACTCTTGTTTCTTCATTCTAAAAGATTCAAATCTTTTTCTAGGGATTCGGATTCTCTAAATGTGAAGAATTCACGAAACTCAGCTGTGATAGAATTAGTGTTCCGAGTTGTTTAGTTATCAACTATAGACGCAACAAATTTATGTTTTATATCATATAGTATCATTATATAATTAGTTAATTAAATCAAAAAAATCAACACAGATTAGCTTGACTAAAAAAATATTATAGAATTATACTAATTAAATTATTAATTAATTAATTGTTTAAATTTTTTTTAAACCAACTAGTTGGAAAGTTGGCAACTAGTTAGTTGTTTAGCTAACAATTTGTAACACTAGATAGAATCATTCGTAACGGAGAATTACGTTTTACAAACTGAACTAGTTACTGGAACCAAAAAGAAGGTGAAAACTGCAACTGGAGAAAAGAAATCAAAGGTGTTATTCAACTACAATTAAACTTTTAACGATCAAATTCGAATTCAGAATTTGTTAAAGTAGAAAATTTCAAAAGTTCGAGAGGCGTTTAAATAAATTCTCAAGCAAAAAAAAACTTCAAAACTATTAAAATATTTTTTTAACAATATTTAATTATCATTAAAATTTAATCCGGATATCGTAATTTATAGAAAAATTTACAAAAACTCGACCGAGTGACGAAAATTGAAATTTTTTTTTTTTCGTAGAAAATAAAGAGGGTACAACAAACAAATTCTACATAGATTCTTATTGTTCCGTTAAATTCGTTATATTCCTAAGCGAATTTCTTCGTAACTTCAGCGTATTAAAGACAGTTGTATATGAAACAGAAATAATCATATCAGATATCTAGTTAAATAAACTTTTATTGGTATTATATAATCGTTAAGATCTAAGACGTTTTAAATAATAAAAATACTAATCTTAAAAAAAAAGCATTGAATATATCATTGTTTCGTAAGTAAAGCACTACGTTTATAATGTTAAAAGAAAATATATCGATATAGCATAAATTGTTTTTTTAAAAAGATTATCATTATCAAGTCTCCACAGTATGGCGGTTAGTTCGTCGGTTTCCGATGAGCAGTCCTGGGTTCGATACTGGATACCTAAAAAAAAAAAAAAAAAAAAAAAAAAAAAAAAAAATGCATGTGAGCAATGTTCCAAAAATCATAACTATAACTTTAGTTATGATCTTCGCCTGGCGGCATCACACTTGATCTACTTGCTCTACCTCCTGTGTATGTCTTATTTTTTTTTTCACTCAAATAATATATGGTTATACTGTATTATAAATCTTAAAAAATGCACTACCATACCATCTCTCTTGACTTGTGGTGACTAAAGTGCGGTTCCACTCTTAAACCAAGAGAGGGAGGTACGGAAGGCGAAGTCGTTGCTATGTTTATAGTATAATATTATTGAGTATAAAAAAAGAAATAAGGAGGATGAATAATACGAAAGTCAACAAGAAAAAATAATATTTATTTTTTTTTTATTAACGCATTTGATTTGTCATCAAACAGCAAAACAAACATCAAAACATTAAAACATACACGACGCCTCAAAAAATCGACGCATTAAAAAATCAAACCGTTCGTTTTTTTGTTCGACGTGTATTATTAAAATTTTATTAACTGCTCAGTTCCTAACTGCTCATAGTAGATGTACAATAAACTACTATTGTATGCAGGAAATCGGAAAAAATGAACTAAGTATATTATAAACAACTACACACATATATAAAAAATTTCAGACCATTCATTTAACTGTCATAGCATTACAAGCTTGAAAATTTTTGTTAAAAAAAATTTCGCTGTTAAGTTAGGATTTAACTTAAAAGCTTTCTATTCAGAAATATTCGAATAAAGAAATCCCCATATCGCTCAAAAATCAGTTACCGTAAAACGCAGTGCAAGGTACCCCCCTTGATTTATACCCCCCTTGATTTAGACCGGGTATAATTCAAGGTCAT